ATGCTCCATGCTTACCAAATGATACCTCCCCAAAATATGGAAAAAATTACATAAAAAGCCAGGGAGCCCCATATGACCAAATGGTTCATCCAGGTCCAGTATCGAGTATCTAATGCAAGCTGTTAGAAAAATAAAAAACATTTCATAATACAATATTTTTAATTTGTTAGTAACGTAAATAAAAAGTATTACAATCTATTTTAAGCTTCAGTCAGCAGGTGGAGTTCTTGACTAATTTTCACAGGGACCCCTTACCGCCTTTATTGAAAAAAAGTCTGTTGTACACAAAGCTAAAATTTACATACATAGCTAAATGAATCAAAGCCATGACTCACTCCCGGCAGGCTCACAGCCCTCATTCAATTGACACTATAGTATTCCCCACTGCTCTTCCCCCTGATAGTTCAAAAAAGTTATAGAGGGAGTGAAGAGGAGGGTGTGGCTGGCACAGAGAATAATTAGACACTTCAAGAAGAGGAGAGGGCTATGATGTGCAAGGAGAGAGGGGTGTGTGGCAATTGACTAGTCAATCTTACCAGCAAGTTCAAAGACACATTACAAGTGAATATAAAATATTTTAGGGAAAAGAAAAAACACTCCAAGTAAGCATTTAAATAAACTTGATTTTTGTGTGCTTTTACCTGTATGTTTCTAAATTGGTGACAAGGTCTCTTTAGAGACTTATACATTTAAAAAATTAACAAATTATAAATAAATATAAATTATATCTGGGCCATTTCCTTCGAAGATAGCAACACGTGCCTCTATCCGCTGAATGTACTTGTTATTGCATTTGGAGAAGTCCCCATGTAAGCAGAGCATACTGTAGAGCTTCCTATTTCTGCTAAGGAACATAGTGCGCCAATGTCACTCTCTGGTGAGAAATGAGGCAGGGTGACAGAGGTCTAGCTGTTTGAAAAATTAACTGCCCTATTTATATATTGCAAAAAGAAGCATCCTTACCTTTAATGTAACGGTAAACACTAATGTAGTGAAAATGATTGTTCCAAAAGACCAGTTTCCATACACCTGAAAAAGACAACCTAATTGTTAAAGATTTTATTTTGCCTGACAAATTTAGAACCAGACCAGAGCCACACAAGAAATCACATTTTCTGCTAAAATGCCATTTGTATTAGAAATGTGTTCCAAATAGGAATTTAGATAACAAAATATGGCATTGCCCTGGAAATTGTTAGCTTTAAATTAAATAAAGCAAATGATTAAATGTAGATAAGGCCTCATTCGCACTACCAACAGCCTGCCCGTACAGATCCGTGCAGCGTACACGGCCGTATCGGGCCGCTCCCGGGAAGGACAGGTGCTGCGTGTGATTGCATGCAGCAGCCTGTTCTTCTCTATGGGAGTACGCCGCTGTACACTGACCCGAACTGCACGTCAGTGCGGGTGTCCATGCTGGGACGCAGACAGGACCAATCCTGTCTGCGTCCCAGTATGGACACCCGCACGGACCTGCAGTTCGGTTGAGCGTACGGCGGCGTACTCCCATTGAGAAGAACAGGCTGTTGCGTGCAATCACACGCAGCACCTGTCCTTCCCGGGAGCGGCCCGATACGGCCGTGTACGCTGCACGGATCTGTATGGGCCGGCTGTTAGTGGTGTGAATGAGGCTTAAAAATGAGACCTTTTTTGCAGCACTTTTAGAAAAATCTCATTACAATTTAGCATCATTATTTTGGAGCATAGGATTACATAAAATTTCTCTCAAACCAACATTCTTATTATTGGTGTTCTGTATTTTAGCGGTATATGCTATTAAAACCAAATTCAGACAAAATTGAAATAAAAAATTTGCAGAAAGGACAATTTTTTATATGAACAAGAAAACTAACTAACTATGAATACACTTTTTACGCGGAACACTTACAAGTAAATGTTTGCTATTTACAATGAGCCACAAAAAAAAAAACATTAATACATAAATAAAAGATTAACTCTACAACAGCAAATTTTAGAAACATCTCAGTAAAGAGCAGTATTGATATAATAAACCATTAAATGATGTTTCACTTTGATCAGACCTTCAGTGATCAAAGTTAATTTAGTTTACTAGTTTAAAAAATTGAGCAGGACAGCAAACGTTTTAATAAATATTTGGATACCAGGGTTGCAAAGTCTTAGCTGTTGTGTGGATTAAGATTATATCCAGATATTTATCTAAAAATTATCTAGGCTACTACATTCATGCAAAGATTGAAAATTATCAAGAAAAAAAACAAACTTTAAAAAGGTAATTTTAAGAGAAATGAGTACATACAGAGCTGTTGCATAGTCATTTGTATTTAACAAGGGGAACTTACATGTTTTGTGTATTTTTGTGTAAACACTGAAATGTGCAAGTTGGGGACATTACATTTCCAATATAAGACATTTCTAAGGTAAATATAATACATATATAACCCATAAACACTGACAGCTGTGGGTCCAATATGTGAAATACTAATGACTATAGTGTATGAACTAATTACACTCTAGTTTAACAATACAAGGTCAAAGAGAGATGCTTACCAATGCTGTCATGATCTGGATGCTGACATTAAAATAGGAAGTGAAATGTAAAAAAGTTTTCTTTTTTTTTAATGGCAAAAAAACACCAAATAAAATAAGAAAAATGTAATTCCCAAGAAGTTCTGAATATTAAAATGATTTGACAAATGTTTTCAGTATCATTATACAAGGGTAAAGTACATATTGGCTCCAAAAGCATTATTAGAAAACACTTTCATGGGAAGAAAAAGGGGCAAGACAAAAGTTTAATGTTGGCAAATTAGTGAAGGAAAGAAATAGGTGTGTTCCAACAGCTAAATGTGACTATGGATTACAGTAATAGATGACATTATAATGCTTATTTTTATGAAAGCATTCAAAGACTGAAAATGATCTGAGATTCTTATCTGAAGGGCGATCTAAAAAAAATTACTCAGTGTGGTATGCACATGTTAGACACAGAACTAGTGTAATAAAATAGCGTAGCTCTGTAAAAAGGAAATGTCCGAAAAGTCAAAAGGAACATGTTTTGTTGCCCATAGCAACCAACCAGAATACCTTTTTAAATCCGGCCTGCAGAAATGACAGCTGAATGGCTGCTACCAGAAGATATCTTTTATAAATCAGTCTTATAGTGGTTGCCTATCCTATGGAATAACCTAGCATTGTCCTAAATAGAACATATATGAGACACACACATTGCTCACTGGTAGGCAGTGCCTTAAAGTGAATCTCCACTTTTGCAGCCAAAATAAAGATAACACCTATTTTATATTGGTTACATGTTCCCATTTACATTGTATTACCTAAAAAAAATATTAAAAAAAATGTTTCTCAGTTTAAATTGCTTTTTACTTGCTAAAATGTCTGCTTGGGTTCTCCTGTAAAGAGGGGCTATGGGAAGTTTGTGTAAACCCTGTGTGTACTGTGCTGGCTGATTTCATTATAATTTGTAAAGTAGACCTGAGCACTGCCTGCCTTAACAAAGGGTTAAATGATTAAAAATCCTAGCTTCTGCATTGTAAGTTAATGAGTGAAATATTCCTTTTTTCAGTCTTTCTATTTTACAGTGAAGGTGCCGGGAAAACACTGCATTCAGCCTGCTGCAACAAAACATCTATAAAAAGGTAAGAAATATAAAAAAAAAAGAAGAGAAATTGTAGGTATGCTGTGTGAAAAGGAATACACAACAAACATATAGAGGGGTTTTATCAAATTTGACTGCAAAAGTGGAAATACACGTACAGAATTCACCTTGGATTACGTGACATTATAAATAAACTTGACTCAAAAGACTCATTATTTATAAAGCAAAACAGATGACAACTGCACTCATCAAGTCGTCACCAGCTTTAGAGCAAGGTGCACACGGAATGGGCTTTAATCATTATTTATAAAGTCACAGATCTGCAAATTAAATCCTAACAGGTTCACAATGCACAGTAGTAGTATATTATCCAACATTATTTATTTATTACAGGTATTTATATAGCACCATCATTTAAATTATGTTTGTGTGGCTACAAATCATCCAGAAAAAGAAAAAACATGTTAACATCCTTAGAACATTTCTCTTGGCAATGAATGTAACATACCTGCCCATTGCCTTCCAGTGATGGGTTCTGGAATAGCAGGTAAACACCAAAGAAGAAAACTAGTCCTTCAAAAGCCCCCAGCAAAGTCCAGTATAGGAATGGCAACCATTGTAACATTGCATTGTCAGAATTTCTCCTGCAATTATAAGAAATAAACCTTTAAACAGGATGTTGTGGAAGTAAATAACAGACCAATAAAGCATACAAAATGACAGTGCTCGAGATTAAAAATATTCATGAAATCTTTTTTAAGAATGTATATGTCAAATAAAGAAATGGACTAGAGCAGGAGTCTCAAACTCAATTTAGTCGGGGGCCACTGGACACATTTTTTAGTCTCGTGGGGGCCACTACTATATACGGTACTAGTGTTAATGTATGCATATGTTACAAGCGGCAACTAACACCCATTCAAATTAATGATCGGGTGACAGCTGCTGCATGTAAACTCCTGCACACCGCATGTAATCATATGTGAAAGGATTACATGCAGTTAGGAATCTGTCACTATCCCTGGATACACAATTGTGTATCCAGGGATAGTGATTGTTTTTGTAACTGCATGTAATCATATCACATACAATTACATGTGGTGTGTAGAAGTTTACATGCAGCAGCTGTCACCCGATCATTAACTTGAATGGGTGACAGTTGCTGCATGTAAACGCCAGATTAGGGATTCCTGCTGCAGGAAAACGCAAGTTTGTGACACAGGAATCCCTAATGGTACCTGAAATATAGGTGTGAATGGGGCCTAATATACACACAGAAAAATGCAACCCCCCCCCACAAATAAAATAATACACTCCCCCCACACACATAATACACTTCCCCCACCACACACACATAATACACTTTGCCTCCAAAGCCCCCCAGCAGACATTATAAACTTCCCCCCTCCCTCCAAAGCCCCCCAGCACACAT